GGGACCTGTTGGTGGGGCGAGCCGCCAGCCTGAGTGCCACCTCCACCTGCGGGCTGCGCCGGCCCCAGCCCTACTGCATTGTCAGCCACCTCCAGGTGAGTGGGACAGGGACTGGGGGCACTGGACGGGGATGTGGGTCACGGGACAGGGCTGAGGACACACGCTGAGCCTCCCACTCGCAGGAGGAGAAAAAGTGCTTCATCTGCGACTCGCGACGGCCCTATGACGCCCGCACCAACACCAACAGCCACCGCATCGAGAACGTGGTCACCAGCTTCGCCCCCCGTCCCAAGAAAGCCTGGTGGCAGTCGGAGAATGGTGAGCCGTGGGTGGGGGTGGCAGGGCATCCTGTCCTGTCCCGGGGGGCTCTCTTTCCCTTCCTCCCACGCTGAGGAAGTGTGACTCAGCCGGCGGCCACGGCCGCACCCCTGGACCACGGCCGGGTGGGGGGGACGAGCCCCAGGGAGCCATGGGTGGGTGCTCCCAGCAATCACACCTGTCATCCCCAGGTGTGGAGCACGTCAGCATCCAGCTGGACCTGGAGGCCGAGTTCCACTTCACCCACCTCATCATGACCTTCAAGGTGGGTCCCAACATTTAGGGTACCCAGGCTGGGTTGGGATGGGATGGGATGAGACAGGCCCCTGAGGGCTGTGGGGCTGGCCCCCGTCCCACCTGGGTGTCTTGCAGACCTTCCGCCCCGCGGCCATGCTGGTGGAGCGCTCGGCCGACTTTGGGCGCACCTGGAAGGTCTATCGCTACTTCGCCTACGACTGCGCTGCCTCCTTCCCCCACGTCCCCCATGTGCCCCCACGCCGCATCGATGATGTCGTCTGTGAGTCCCGCTACTCTGACATCGAGCCCTCCACTGAGGGAGAGGTGAGGCCCTGGCAGCGCTCCAGGAGGGTTGAGGGACCTCCTGTTCTCTCCTCACCACCTTGCTGTCCACCCTAGGTGATCTACCGAGTGCTGGACCCTGCCATCCCCATCCGGGACCCCTACAGCCCCTCCATCCAGAGTGAGTCGCCAGCCCTGGGCTCCTGCCTGGCTGCTCTATTTTGGGCGCAGCTATTTTGGCTGTTCTTTCCCTGCTCTGAGCCTCACAGTGGGGTCAGGGCCTGATCCAGCCCTGATCAGCCCTGATCCAGCGGCAGCTCGGGCCCCTCCTGCACCCTGCCCTGTGGGAGCAGCTAAAGGTCAGGCTGTATTGGGTCAAGTGGAGGGGGATGGTTGTGCCATGGCTGCACCCAGTGCTGAGCAGCAGCCGCAGTGCAAGATGGGGAGTCATGCTGGGCACAAGATGCAGTGGGTTAATCACCCAGGGCTAAATTTAGACTGGGAGCAGGAGGGGAGGAATCTGCAGGGCAGGGCTTCTGGGAAGCTGCAGTTCTGGGGAGCTGTCCTTTCCTGCCAGGGCCCCCAGGCTGCATCCATCAGGGACAGCTGTCTCCTGGGCACAACCCCCAGTGGTGAATGTCCCACTACCCTAGCACCATAAAGGTGCTGTGCCCAGGGCATTGTTCTGCACTCGTGGGGTCCCAGCCTCTGCAGAGGCTCTGCTGGGGTGTGCAGAGCCCTGGCCCACACACAGGCAGACTGTGCACAGCCACGTGCATGGGAGTTGAACCCCCGCAGTTACATACAGCCCAACCTGGCCACATGCAACCACATGCCTGTGAGCCAAACCATGCACAGCCCTCGGACAATACACTGTGCTGTAAAAAACCACAACAGCCCAGCCTGGACAGCAGCCCTGCACAGACACCCCATGCCGTGCACAGCCCACCCCAGCCATGCCCAAGCCATGCCCAGCTCCTCTGAACCGCCCACAGCCCCCTACGCCATGTGCAGCCCAGCCCAGCTGTGCCCGGCAGAGGTGAGGTGTGCATGGATGTGCCCAGCCATGCCATGCCAACACAAGTCTCTCCCTGCCGCAGACTTGCTGCGTGTCACCAACCTGCGGGTGAACCTCACCAAGCTGCACACGCTGGGGGACGACCTGCTGGACTCGCGGCGGGAGATCCGGGAGAAGTACTACTATGCACTCTACGAGCTGGTGATGCGTGGGAACTGCTTCTGCTACGGGCATGCCTCTGAGTGCGCCCCGCTCAGTGGGGCCCCTGCCACCGCCGACGGCATGGTAGGGCGAGCCAGCCTCGTGTGCCCTGCTGGAGCTGGGTAGCTGTGCTGCCTAGTTCTGTAGCCCCTGACCCATGGCATCCCGGCAGGTGCATGGGCGCTGTGTCTGCAAGCACCACACGCAGGGACTGAACTGCGAGCGCTGCGAGGACTTCTACCACGACCTGCCCTGGCGCCCGGCCGAGGGCTCCAGCACCAACGCCTGTCGCCGTGAGTGCCCACACTGGCACCAACTCCTGGCACAGTGATCCTGGTGTTGGGGCTGGGAGGCTGCACTGTGCCAGGGGTTTTGGGATGCTACATGGTGGATGTGATTGAGTGGAGAGTGGCATCCTGCGGACAAGCCGGGAGGTTTTGGGGTGCTGCACGCTGTAGTTGGGGAGGTTTGAGGTTGTGGTGCTGCATATCAGGGTAAGGGGAGTCCAAACTGAGGAGGTTTGGCACTGCAGGTGCTACCTGCCAGGTGGGGGCTGGGGTGCCACATGCCATGCTGCGGTGCTGTCCCTGCAGGCTGCGACTGCAACGAGCACTCACGGCGGTGCCACTTCGACATGGCCGTGTTCCTGGCCACGGGGAACACCAGCGGGGCCGTGTGTGATGACTGCCAGCACAACACCATGGGCCGCCGCTGCCACCTCTGCAAACCCTTCTACTACAAGGACCCCACCAAGGACCTGCGGGACCCCGCAGTGTGCCGAGGTCAGTGCCAGGGGGTGTGGATGTGGGGCAGGCTCTGCAGGGTGGTGCTATGGTGGTCACGGCGCTGACTCTCTCTGCTCCCCCAGCCTGTGACTGCGACCCTGAGGGCTCTCTGGACGGTGGGCTGTGCGACGGAGCTGATGACCCAGCCAGGGGGCTGATTGCAGGGCAGTGCCGCTGCAAGGAGCATGTGGCCGGTCCCCGCTGTGACCGCTGCAAACCTGGCTTCTTCAGCCTCAGCACCGAAAACCCACAGGGCTGCCAGCGTAGGTACCTGGGTGGCACCCACCGGGGGCAGGTGTGTGGTTTGGCATTGCTGCACAATGCTGGCTTTCCATGCAGGCTGCCACTGTGACCCCCGTGGCACGGTGGCCGATGGCAGCCGGTGTGACCCTGTTAGCGGGGAGTGCTTCTGCAAGCGGCTGGTGACGGGGCACAACTGCAACCAGTGCCTGGTGAGTGGGGCTGTACTGGGGCCCATGCACAGTTCTCGGTGCTGTAGCATCACAGCTGGGCACTCCCTGACACCCTTGCCCTCTGCAGCCCGAGCACTGGGGGCTGAGCCATGACCTCCAGGGCTGCCGGCCCTGTGACTGCGATGTGGGAGGTGCCCGCAACAACCTGTGAGTCTTTGTGGGGATGCAGGGGGCAAGGGGGATCCCTGACAGCGTCAGGGCTGATGGTGCTGCTGGGGTATCAGGTGTGCCATGGAGACAGGGCAGTGCCAGTGTCGCAGCCACGTGATGGGACGACAGTGTGAACAGGTGGAGCCTGGTTTCTACCGCATCAATCTGGACCATTACACCTACGAGGCTGAGGATGCTCGGCTGCATCAGGTAAGGCATGAAAGTGTCCCTGGGGAGGACATCAGGCAATGGATGCCCCTTTGCAGGGTCCCCAAGCCAGCGGTGGTCTGCCTTGCTGTCCAGGGCAGAGCAGTGTCTGCTGGCCAAGGCAATTTTTAGTGTCCCATCTCACAACCCCCACTTGTACCAGGGTTCGGTGGTGGAGCGTGAACCCCCCACAGACCGCCCAGCTTCATGGACGGGGACAGGTTTTGCCCGCATGTTGGAAGGTGGCTGGCTGGAGTTTCATGTGAGTGACGTGCCTTTCTCCACCGAGTATGACGTGATCATCCGCTATGAACCCCAGGTGAGCACCACATGGTGAAGCCTGTGATGGAGTGTATTTCCAAATTGGGATGCGGTGGTGGGAAGTGCCAGACCGTGAGGCTTTTTGACACTGCCCCTTCTCTTCCGGCAGCACCCAGAGGCCTGGCAGGAGGTGAGGCTGAAGGTGCTGCGCCCCAGCCCTGTCTCTGCCAGCAGCCCTTGTGGAAACACCATCCCAGCCGATGACCAGCTCTCCACCAGCCTCCCCTCTGGTGCCAGGTGAGTGTCTTGCTGGGGCTGGGCTGTGCTGGGGCTCACTGGAGGCACATGGCTGCCCTTGCTCTGCTTTGCTGCCACCAGGTATGTGGTGCTGCCCCAGCCTGTCTGTCTGGAGAAGGGTGTCTCCTACACCATCCGCCTGGAGCTGGGCTGTGCTGCTGCACGGAAGGATCCCACTGCCAGTGTGCTTATTGATTCGGTGAGGGGCAGACAGGCAGTGGGATGAGGGACAGCAACCCTGGAGGGGGACAGGATGCAGCAATAGGGGGACATGGGAAGAGAGGGGCATGACATCCTATTGACTCGCCCTCCAGCTGGTGCTCCTGCCCCGTTACTCCTCACTGGAGATGTTTATAGCGGGTGATCCCAGCTCCATGAAGCACCGAGAGACCTTTGAGCGGTACCGCTGTGCCCAGACATTCCACGCCGCAGGGCCCTCGCCTGTGGCCGAGCCCTGCTCCAGCCTCCTGCACAGCCTCTCGGCCATCCTGCATGACGGGGCGCTGCGTGAGTACAGCCCTGTGCCCTGACCTAAGCCCCATCCCACTTCAGCCAACACTGACCCTGCTCTCTGCCCGCAGCCTGCCTCTGCAATCCTCAGGGCTCGCTCAGTGCTGAGTGCCAGCCCCAGGGTGGGCAATGCCAGTGCAAACCCAATGTCATGGGACGGCGCTGTGACCGCTGCTCCCCAGGAACCTTCAGCTTCGGGCCAGGCGGGTGCCGACGTGAGTGCCAGCTGGGCAAGGAGCCTGGGCACTCCAGGGCTGGGGTGCTGGGAGGGGATGCTCTCTGCAGCCCAGGGGCAGACACCGTGGGTGCTGTGCCTTCCAGCGTGCCAGTGCAGCCACGAGGG